TCCAGTCCCTAACGGTCTGGGATTCTGTGAACAAAAAACCCAACAATCCCCTGCCGTGCACCTACTCCAGACAAACTCTGCCAAGCCAGGCACACTGGTCCACTGCAAAGGCTGCTGGAGATGAGCATCGCAAGCCCACCAAGCGTCACAAACCCACGGAGCACCCACAGATGCAGCAGGCTGACAAATACTCCGAGAGCCCAACCTCCCCACTTGGCAGCGGGTGTGTAACTGCCTCAGCCTCCCACCCCACACTATCCATGGAGGAGCTGAAGAGGGGCTCAGCACGGGTGCCACCACCAAGCACTTCAGCCACTTCAGCCCTTAGGGAACAAAGCCACTGGCAGGAAATCTGCACTTCAAATTTCACTTAAAGTTTTCAGATGCAAAGGCTGAACACACTCAAAAATCCAAAGCAGTGAGAAGCTCATCCCAGGACCTGTGCTCCTCCGGAGCTAGTGAGAAAGTTTAGATTTCAGTAGGCCTCCAATTAGGGAGCTGCATAACCAGTGGAAGAAAGCAAAGCTGCTTTCTCCATTTCATATTTTCAAAGCACACAGGAAACTCCTCAACTGAGCTGTTAAAACCTCAAGGATCCCCCGTGCGGCACAGGAGCCCTTCGACTGCATCCTCAGTGCCACCCAGACAGAAACAGGTCTTGGCCAGCCGAGGTCTGGCAAGCGACCAAATCACAGACCACATAAAGACGAGGAATGGGCACGGAGAAAGGGCCGCAAGGTGCTCCATTAGTTTAGCCCTTAACACACAGGCGTGAGAATGGAGCTGGTTTGGCTGCCCAGAAGACGAATAGCGAGGAGAAAAGCGGGATTTGTAGGGACTGCCGTGTTCTGCAGGAGCCACAGCTACATTTCACCTCTGCAGACTCAGCTCAAGGGTAAAACAAGCCTCATCTGCTGGGAGCGACAGTGTATCCGTACCTGGTAGACACTGCCTCCAAACACTTATCCCAGACAGATGAACTACAGCACACACGTTCATCTGTAGAAGAAAATAGAGTTTCCACACTCATCCTTGCTTGGTGCCATTAGCCCCGACCCCCAGCTGCACCTACACAGCGTAATCTGCTGCATCATTCACCCCAGCAACTGCTGCATCCATCCTGGGCTACTTTGAAGCCTCTCTGGTGCCGCACGGTAACCTTGGAACTGCTGCTGGGATAAAAAAATCTGCTCTAAATCGTATTTCTGCAATTTGCCTTTAATTCATCATGGCAAGGAACATTCAGACAGGGCAGGATCTTCAGAGTTTTTATGTTTTGAGTAGTAAAAACAGGCAGCCACAGCAGAGAAAACGCTTAAGGACCAAAGATCTCGTGCAAATTTAACAGGAAGGAAACACAAAGCAGTGCTGAGTACTCGGAGGGAGTTCTGCTCACGTCAAAACTGGTTTTCAAAGTATTCTCTGGGGAGCTTGCAATTCTTTCAGTAAGTTGCCAAGAGACAGTCACACAATCTAGAGCAGATCTCGCATGTCTCCATAAAACCATGGACCCTCAAGGATCCCGAAAAGCATCACAAATGTAAATGGCAAAGGGACCATTCTGTACTTCTGAGACACAGGCAGCATCAATTTCCATTGCAGTAATTCCAGGTAAACGGCAAAAACCACTCGATTCGTGACTTCAGCCGCAAAGGCATTTTGTTAACAGGACGAGTGACGCCACACCACCAAGGAGGAACCCAGAAAGCATCAGGCCACTGTTACCTGGTAGAGACCTTCATCCTCCTCCTCAAACTCGGTGTTTGGAAGGCTGTGGTGCCGCTCGTAGCCTGTCCTGCACACCCCGTTGGGCTGCCGCCCCACGTCCAGGTGGTGGTCGCTGGAGGACTGCGTCATCACCATGCCCTGAGGGGTGGGCGAGTGGCTTTTGCGGGACACGGTCTCCTTCCGGTGGTGGATCAGCTTTCTGAAACAGAACGAGGGCATCAGGGACAGCAGAACTAAAGGAGGGGAGTGACGGTGCCGCAACATTTAAACGCTGTATTTTATTGATTTATTGCATTTGAGCTATATATACCAGAATTAGTCATGTTACTCTGAACAACAACTCCAGTTTCATTAACAACTAAGGAAGCGCTGCTGGGGGAGGAAGGAAGAGGCTTTGCAAGAGCCCATGATTTATTCATCAGCTCGCTGGAGAAAAATGCCTCTTCCTCGGGAGAGAGGCACATATTGCATTGCAAGCCTCAGAAATTGCCTGCACTTCAGAATCGCTGCTCAACTGAGATTAAACCAGCATGCCTCAGCACAGAGCATAAGATGTCAGAGAAAAACAAAACTCCTCCTCACAAGCAATTATTTGAGAACATATTAAGGACCTTGGTGCCACATGCCAACAACCTCCACAATTCCCGGCTGGCAGAGAGGAGAAAATGCATCCAGAAAGGTTTTGGATTTCTCCTGTGAGCCTGCAGTGCAGCTGAGAGTTTTCTCTTCTTTACATGCACAGGGATAAAGGGGGGAGACCGAAACACGGTCACAGGAGGAGCAGCATCGGCTCCCAGCTCTGGCGCTGGAAGGTCTCTGAGTGCATCAGCATTTCGCAGCACAGGGACTCAAACAGCGATGTCCAACGTGACCCTCCAGATGTGAGCATCACACGCTGACCACCCTCCACCTCTCCCCAGGGCCCACGGTACTTACTGGAGGACATCTCTCTGCTCCAGGTTGTACTTTCCCCCATTCTTCATGGCTGCGTTGTGCACAGCCTCAATGGCACGGTCAATAGACTGGAGAACCACATCTTGCTCCAGCACCTGAGAAACACAACACCCCACACGTTACTGTGCCACTTCTGCTGTGCTTCTTCTGCACCAGAGCTTGTGGCAGGTGAGACCGCAGAGGGAAACCCACAGAGCAGGCACCACAGGAGCCAAATGGCCAGCAAATGGCTCCCAGAGCCAGACCTCCATCCAGCACCATCTCATTTTCCCCTCCTTCCTCCAAATGAAACATATTTGCAGCTGTGTTTCAAACTAAGCCTACCCATTAAAGGTTTATGGTTGGAAAAGAGAGTCACTGTCACAAACTCTGAAGTCAGGAAGAGCAGGGCAGAGCCCCAGGGCCATGCAGCAGCCTTGAACAGCCACCCTGCTGCAGGGAGCTTTCGAGAGCCCGCTGCAAAGCCCAGCTTACCCCAAGCTCCGAGCCTTCTGCTCTCACTGCCTGCTACGGAGCAAATACACAGCTGTGACTGTTACAGACCCAGTCTGGTGGCCTTCAGACTCCGCTGGCTCCAGGTTTGCACTTCTGCTCGCTTTCTCCTCCATGTTTTTTATTGTTGTTTTGCAACTTGAAGTGCATTTTCCAAACCTCCACCCAAACTGTCATAACAACCTGGATTCCTCCTGCCAGCCAGTTTAGCACTCGTTACCGCAGCTGAATTAAACACCAGCCTTGGAACACGAAATATCAAAGACATCACTGCCCGGGCTCACAAGGGAGAGCCGTGGCGAAGGGGCACGGGAAGGCACAGCGAGTTTCCACGCTTGGGACATTCTTCACGGCTTTGTCAACGCTTGAGATGCCTTCAGAAGAGGAGACCTTGCCAGGAATAAGGCTGAAGGCAAAGGAGATGCTACTGAGACTGCGGCCTGTGCCCTGGGTCCCTGCACCATCCACTCGGCACCACCAGTGCAGCCGCAGCCCCGCACGCAGGGGAGGAGCAGGAGGGGATGGGAGCACTTGGACTCCAGTCGTCGTTTGAATGCTAAACCCCCTTCCTTCCTCTTTGCTTGCTCTGCCCTTCCCTGCATCACAGCAACCATTTATCCAGCCAAGGAGCTGCTGGAACCTCATCAAGGATGCACCTTAATTGGCCTTAGGGGGCTGTGGAGCAGCAGAAGGCGAGCCCTCCCTGCCGGGGCTGAAAGTGCCTGCCTCCACAGCACCGGCATGCAGTTTTCTGGTAACATGCTATGTATTATTTATATCCTGATTAATTACTAAACCAAATGTGAATAACAGCTACCGCAGAATGTGGGAAAAAAACCAGCGCTCCAAACAAGGTGGGGATGAGAGGCCCCCTCTGCAACTCTCAGCTTTGAAAAAGAACAATTCAGAAGGAAGGGGGGTTGCTGGTTTGTCTTCCCAAGAAAGAGAGAGAGGAAGGAAAGCAACTGGGGAAAACTTTTTAAAAAAACAACCCGGGTGTGTTCAAATAAATCCACCAAATTTGTTAACGTATCAGATCAAAGACAAAACCAACACTTGGAACCCAACTTGGGGTGAAGCCTCCAAGCAACACCATCCTAGGGAGCATTTCACCACCTCTAATTACAGATCTAAGTGAGGAAATGAAGCAAAGCCCATTTGAACACATTTAAAGGAGCACTGGAAGAAAAGGCAAGTAATTTCAGAAGATCCATCTCATTTTCTGAGGAGGTAAGAGAAAATTAAAGCAAGCTGCACACTTTCTCTGAGAAAGGGAAGCAGTACAGAAGTCTCCAGCACCGCTGTCCCCAGGGCAATGCCCTCCTGTGCAGCTCCAAATGCCAGATACCCCTGCCCTCTGCACAGCGTGCTTGTTCTTGTGCTGCTCCCAGCTGAGCCACCACCCCGAAACTCAACACAGCTCGGGCTATGGCCTCCAAACGCCCACCCGGGGGCATTCCCTGGTCTGTAGTCCCTCCACATCCACCACTGCCCTCTCCAAAGCCACCCACGAGCCTCTCCACAAGACGCACCCCTCGGCGCTGCCTTCTCCCTCCCTCCCCACCCCACCAGGCTTTCACCCACACGGGTTTCCGCCGTTCCCAGCCTGATCTCCCCAGGGAAGACGGCAGCGCAGAGCGCTGAATCCTCCCGAATGTCGCAGCATCTTTGCCCTTTTCCAGAGAGCACATCGACAGCGTCCACAGGAATCCACAGGAATCCACAGGCTACAGCTGCTGCTCGCTGTGTAATGCCATTTGTTATGGCGAGAGACCTTCTTTTCTGGTAAAACACAGTGTTTTCACACTAATGCAGCAGTGCTGTGACAACCAGCTTTTAGCTGCTGTGCTCTTTCCTTTGTTTCCGCCCCCAACCCTCTATTAGCAAGGCTCTGTCAAAAGGGGTGGAACAAAAAAGCAGCATTAACTTGCCACTTGCACTTTATGACATTGTTGATGCTGCTCACAAACCATCTCCTCCTCCCCTGCTCAGCTGAGCTGGTCGGGGGGCAGGGTCTTTAGCACAGGGGCCACCTCGTACTCAGGGTTTGCAGGACCCTGGTTTGCATCGGGGCTCCCCTGCGCTATAGTCACAAACTTAAAAACCAGAAATCAGTATCCCAGATAAATCATGTGAGTGCAAGGAGTCTGCATGCTCCTTGGGTTAACCAAAATGGCACCGCGCTGTCTGAAGAGGACGGCCACAAAAGCACGTTGCAGTTAAAAGGAGCACGGGTTGCACAGAGGTGACAGCTGGGTTTACCAATGTCTCACTTACAGACTCCTTCTCCCTAGGACAGGGATTACCTGCCCACTGCAATCCAGGATAACGCACGTGCCTCGCCGTGCTCCCCACGCAGCTCGGGGAGTCCGGTCACTCCATGGCACTGCCAGGGGACTCCTGCCTGCGTCCAGCACCCACTCCCGAGGATGCTCATGGCCGGGACGCACACAGCAGAGATCCCACACTGTACAGCCAGGCAGCGATCACCCACGCCTTCTCACAGGCCTGCGGGTAACCCTGGACACCCATAGCTCTATGGCTGCAAAAGAGAGGTCACAGACCAGCACCAGGGTGATGGAGCAGAGCCTTTGAGCTCAGGCAGCAGAGATCTGTGCTCAGAGTCTGCTCCCATCCCCCCAGCCCATGCCCCCTCCCATGCTCCAGGATGCTGAGACAAAACCCTGCTCATCGCAGGCCGAGCTCAGGCTCACAGGGAAGTGGGGGTGTGCATGGAAATGGCAGCACTGTACAGCGTGTGGTCAGAGCAGATGCACCCAGTAAAGCCCGGGAATTAGGCTGGATTTAACAGAGTTGTGCTGGTAACAGCAGGGATGGGGGCTGGCAGAGCCCCCAGCACACTGTTAACTACATCCTGCGCCAGTTACCCCTTCACCAGGGGCACAGCCAGGCCAGTGGCTCCCAAAAGGCAGAGCAGGTGGCCAGGATGGTGGAAGGCGCCAGCCATGCACGAGGGCAGGGGTCTCCCCGGTCAGCGTGGGGTGGCACAGCTCCAGCCCGTGGCCAAGATGCAGCAATAGGACACCACCTGCTGCCAAACGTGCCGCGAAAACAGAGGCGTGTTTTGGTGATGGACTGATCCACGTTCACACGGCATCTCGCCCCAGAAAGGAGCGGCCGCCACCCCCTCTGTCAGACATTTCTGGTGTAATCAAGTAAAATGCTGCAGCGGAGGAACGCCGTGCTCTGTAACCAGGCTGTCACCACCAGCCCGGCCGTGCTGAGAGGCAGAGGACGAGCGGAGCAGTGACCCGTGGCGATCACGGGCCAGGCTGGTGATGGGGTGCGCTGTGGGCACTCTGCAGGTGAGCTGCTCTGCAGGAACAAGTCACAGCTCAATTACAGCCGTGAAACAGAATTTCTTCCTTTATAGCCCAGTGTCGGATAATCGCAAAAGCATCAATAAATCATTACTTGCTCTCTCCTTGCTAATAACACAAGCAAACAAAGGGTTTCCCCAGAGTCCGCTGCCAATTTCCTCCTCCCCCCGACTGCAGGAGGGGTCTCCCCACCTGAGAAGGAACAGGGCCACACCTCAGCACTGCCCTGGGGGGCTCTGCACACCCCCTCGCCCCCAGGCAGGCAGGGAAGGGTGCCCTTCCCAAGGCCAAAGCCAGCCTTTCCAAAAGCATCCTCCCAGGACGTCTCGGGGGCACCTGAGCATGGCCAACACAAGACAGGGCTGTGCACAGGCGGGGATGCATTCACCCCATGGCTCACAGCGCTCTCATCTTCACTGCCCCAAGAGCAGCCGCCCCAAAGACCGCACACGTGCACAGGACGTGTCCCGCCTCTGCTCCCCCGTGTTCGGGCTGATGAGACCTGTATTAAAAACAGTGTGACCAGCAGGGCCAGGGAGGTGATGATGCCCCTGTACTTGGCACTGGTGAGGCTGCACCTCGAGTGCTGTGTTCAGTTCTGGGCCCCTCACTAGAAGAAGGATGTTGAGATTCTGGAGCGTGTTCAGAGAAGAGCCACAAGGATGGGGAGGGCTCTGGAGAACAAGCCTGATGAGGAGCGGCTGAGGGAACTGGGCTTGTTTAGCCTGGAGAAGAGAAGGCTGAGGGGAGACCTCATCACCACCTACAACTGCCTCAAGGGAGCTTGTAGAGAGGTGGGTGCTGGGCTCTTCTCCCAGGTGATGGGGGATAGAACAAGGGGAAACGGCACCAAGCTGTGCCAAGGGAGGTTCAGGTTAGAGATAAGGAGGAAGTTCTTTACTGAGAGGGTCGTCAGAAGCTGGCACAGGCTGCCCAGGGAGGTGGTGGAGTCACCATCCCTGGATGTGTTTAAAGAGCGGGTAGACGAGGTACTTAGGGATATGGTTTAGGGGGTAGACAGGAACGGTTGGACGTGATGATCTCAGAGGGCTTTTCCAACCGAGCGATTCTGTCTGTGATTCTGTGTGACCCCAGCATTTCGGAGGACGCTATCAGTGTCCTGGCCGTGCAGGCAGCACAACCTCCTGTCCTGCTCTCCCAGGGCTACTGAAAACATTGTCCCTCCCCGTTTTGCATCCTTCCACACCAGCATTGTTTAAATGCACTCACACAGAAGAACCTGCTCAACAGTCGGGAATAAT